GGGGGGGGGGGGGGGGATTCAGGACTACCGTTTGTGGCTGCCCTTGCTCCTGGGGCTGTCGGAGGCCGCGTCGTTCGGCTCCCGCCTCGGCCGCAGTATGAAGTTGAGGTTGTGCGCGGTATTTACAGCGTAATAGACGTTGGCCGAGTTGGGCAGCACCATCTCCCGGTCGGGCAACACCTGGGCCAGGGTGTACTGGTCGGGGCTGCCCTCGAGGCCGAGTTTCAGCATCGCGTTGCGGACCACCTGAGGCGTGCGCTCGTTGTTCGACAGCATTATCGACTTGTACAGCACGACGCCGTCCGTCTCCACGTTGTCGCTCTCCATGGTGACCTTGATGATGTAGAAGTCCGGCGAGCTCTTGTGCGAGTGGCTGGGACTCGACAGGCCGGCGAGGTTGGGCGTGCTGCCGTTGGCAGCGACCGCACCCGCCGATGGCGGTGCCAGTCGCGTCTGATGGTTGCCGCTACCGCCGCCGCCGCCGGAGCTCAAGGACACGTCCAAGGAGGGCAAGGACGAGCTCGAGGACGAGCTGGACATCTGCGAGGGCGAGGTGCGCCGGTCGAGCGAGTTGTGCGGCGAACTCGGCAAAGAATCCAGGTCGCAGTAGAACTGCGAACTGCTGGAGCTGGACGTCGAGGCGATCGAGTCGTTCTTACGGTGTCCTTGGTGACCCTGTTGGATGCAAGTTTCGCACTTCAGTCGATAGTCTCAGGGGTTAGGGTCTTATTTAGTAGCGCACCGCAGGGCGCTCAGCATGTTCGCCCGGTCGCGGTTTAATCGCACGGAGAGAAGTGTTTCGCCGGCACGGCAAACCGTTCGTTGCTGCAGCGACAACGAAGAGATTTGTTACGCGGGGAAAATCATATTGCTGCTGCGGCGAAACGTCGTTGCGACAGCGCTACAAATTATTTAGCATAATTAGCGATCAATACTCTTGACGAATCTTTTTTCTGTCACCACAACGGTAACAAGGAATTCGCTGTGTCAGCAAAGTTTTTCGTCCGTGCGGGGAACCTTTTTCACAGACTGTCTCTATTTTTTTTTTTCTTGCTACGTAACTATGTGAAACAGACCGGATTTGTTTGTGTGAAACAGGAAGAAAAATTCGTCGCTGTCGCACACGTGTGACGCTGATAGCGAACGTGTTAACGTTCCTCGTCCGAAAAATTAGGAACGCGTTAGGTTTCAAGAGACTTAAACAACGTAAAGTTTTTTCATTTTTAAATCGAGGTAGAAAAAACCTTTGAAGCTTTCCGAAGATATTCTTTCAATATCGCGATGATCGGGGGCGAGACGGGACGCTGACCTGCTTCTTTTTCCCGCGGTTGTTGAGGGTGTTGCCCGCTGGCGGTGGTTCAATCTGGCAGCTGAGTTTGTATGCTTCCCGGTCGTCCAATACCAGTACGGAATGGAACCATCGGTCGAACACGGGATCCGTGCTGAAGTTATACGCGTTCGCAGCGCCCTGAAGAAGCCGTATCCTCGCGAGGACCTCGAACTCCTTGCGTCTCTTGTCGAAGTTGATCAGCCCGTCGGCTATCGTGTCCGGTATCGCCGTGTCGATCATCGTCAGGTCAGTCAGGAACGTGCCTAGATACGGTATCGTGCCGTAACTGATGTTCTGAAAGAGCAGGTAGCGATTGTAGAATTGTGGAATTTAAAGGAACCGCGCTAGCTTCGTATTCGTCTGACCTACTTTTTTTTTTTTATAAAAATCTTTCATTATTTCAGACTTCAATATTTAAAAATGTATCTTTTATGTCGCAATATTAAAAGAAAATATTGTTACAAAAGTTATTATTTGATACAACTGCACAATTAATTTCGCAATTCGGCAATGAAGCTCCGAATTTTTCGCTACAACGTTAAACCTTGCAAATTTCAGCGTTAACTAGCCACGTTAATCCGGAGATTTGATATATATTTCGGGCTTTCAATTTTAATTTCAAGATCATCATTTGGTTCGCAGCTATCTATATTTCCAAAGTTCCAGATGCTATTCAACCGGATCAATAATTCACCGCGTAATTTATAAACCGAGTTCCTTCCTTCATTACCTCTTTCAACGCTCTGGGAACTTCCTCGGGACGATTCGACGCAATTTTAACTTCACCTTTCAATTCGACCGTGGTGTATAAAGCAAACCCTCGTAAAGTATCGCGAACAGGAGGCACAGAGTCGCAAACTTACGCCCGCGTGAGTATTCTGCTTCTGAAAGAGCTTCTGCAGATGCCGGTCGCTCCTACCGGCGGTGTCGGCGAACTTGGCGGTGCCCTCTTTGATGAGGAGCTCCCGCTGGGTCCAGGCGTTGTTCTCCTCCGAGAATATCCTCTCGAGCTCGCGGAACAGCTCGTGTTTCTCGCGCGGCATGCACTGCCAGCACTTCTCCAGCCGGTAAACCGGATTGCTCTGCAGGCCGGACACGATCGCCTTCAGGCTGCTGAAGTTCTTGAGCACGCGCAGCTCCTGCGCGATGTCGATCCACGTCTCGAGGATCCGCGCGCGCTCCTGAGACTTCAGCGTCGTGTCCGTCAGGATCGTGGAGATGACGCGCAAGGAAACCGCGTTGAACTGATTCACCGTCGCCAACACCGTCGCGGCGTCGTGGCTCCTCGAGCGGTCCTTCCTGGACCAGACGGCGCCGAGGCACTGGTGGGCGACCAGCTTCTTGAACACCTCCGCGTCCATCCGCGTCAGCTGCTCGGCGAAGTGACGCTGCGGCACCTCCGGGAAGATGTAGCTCGTCCAGTGATCCGACATCGGATCCGGGGAGCCGCGCATGGGTAGCCGACCATTGTCGTAAACCATGCAGGAGTCTGAAAGGAAACGGGGAGTCCAATTATCGCGCGGTAATTAGTTAGGAGAGCTGGACGAGCGGTGTAACAGGACGCAGTGATGATAGAAACGAGAACACGAGATATATAAATCCTTCACGCGCGTGGAACTGCGAGTCACAGGACTGGGTTCTCCTCCGCAAGAGACCGTGTTTTCCGAAGGATTATTCGAGTTTGAGAAACGGGAACGAAAATAGGGCGCAGGGATCACATCTTTCGTGAAATTCCCCGTTTGTTAGATGATACATCTCAGCATCGTTCGCGTAATTCTTCCCTAAGACCGCCTCAGGGAAAAATTACACGATCGATACTCAGAATTGTATTCGAATGATTACAAGAAATGCTCTGGGAATTTCTTTCTTTTTTTTCCCCCCATTATTTTCCTTCACTTTTTTCGAATTTCTCAGTTTTCTCATTCTTCTGCTTTTATTCCGATTTATGTTTTTCAACAGAGAATATCGTATCGTGACATCAGTAAGAGTACACATCGTGGTATTCGAGTGCTGAGCGCAGCAGCTTGAAACGTAAAGTTTCCTCAGGTCACATTTTCTGTTTGCCGTCTGTCGATGCGGGACCACCTCTATTTTTGGGATATTGTGACCGGACGGAGCTCAGTGTGTTTCCACGGGCGAGCCCCGGTGAAAGGTGAGCCCTGGCCCGTTTATACGGCAAGGGAGCGGTGGACCCTCTGAATTTACACGGAAAGCAGATGCCTTTGTGCGACCGGGCTCCGATTGGCCTTTCATCGCGGCCGAAACGCCGAGAAACCCTTTCTGAACCGCCGAACGCTCGATAATTATTCTTCAGCTACTGTTCATGCCGCGATAAATGCATCCTCCGAGTTATTTTGTATCAGCAGACAGCCAGGCAAGACACGTTGTCATTGTCGTCTGTCGTCTTCGTTGTTTCGGCCGTTTCGCGTTGTAGTGACGCATTAAAGTCTGTTCTACTACAACACGTCGTATGTCGCTGTCGAATGCCGGAACGTAGTCGATGGTCCAATAAGGAGAACTCACTTTCGGAAAATAAATTCTCTCATTGGCTGTGTCCCGACATCCGACTCCGGCATATGGCGTATCGTAGAACAGGCCTAAGAAATCCGGTCTTGGAGATATTCGCCGGTTATACAGGGTGGCCCATCCGACGTTATCACCGATGTATTTTTTACGCAATACTTCCGAGAAAATTTCTCAAGCATGGAAATTATCATGAGGCGATGTCCCTCCTCCCTCCCCCCTTCATCCGTCTGGCATTCTGCGTTCATCGATGTTGCGTCTGCAACGTGAATCCCAACGGATGTTTGCTCGCTTATCACGAATCAACGCGCATAATAAACAGTGCGACTCGCGACGAATTCGTTTTGGATTACATAAGTTGAAAACCCGATTGACTTTTCAATGATCACGCGGGCTTTAAAATTTGAAACTTTACTTAAACACAGGATTCCTCTCTAATCAATCCTACTTTGTATGATTAGTAAACGAACAGATTCTATTTAGTCAGAATCGAATCATCCCACATGGTCACATTAATGGACAGATTTTTGTGTTCAAAGTGTAAAATTTTCAAATAAATGCAAAACAAAATCGCAGAATTGGAAGATTTCGAAATAAATCCGCGTTATATATTTCATATATTATTCCACGAGACGCGATATTATCTAAAACATGAAAATTTGTCTTGATCCGGCATGCTTTACTTCGATATCAGATCGAATTTGATTCTCTTCCAAGTGACGGGCTTCGAATTTCCTAACCGACTCCTAAATCCAAATTCGCCTAAATCGACAGACCCTTGAATCCCTCGCGTTCAAACTTTATCGGGGAGACACTTCACGCCTACTCGAATGGAGTGTGCGAGTTGGGGAGCGAGCGATGATTACCTATCTGATCCTCACGTTGAAACCTGTGCAGCCGGTGCCTGGCCTTAAGCTCGAGCTCGGAGCCCAACAGGTGCCGGTGCGTGAAGTCCAAGAGTCTGGTGAGGAGGGGATGGTTGGGGGGCGACTTCCAGTCACCCGGGTAAGCGTCCAACCAGACGTGCAGGGCCTGGACGAGGGTCTTGCGGTGCTGCTCGCAGCCGGTGCTATCGTCCAAGGCGTCGTACCTGGCGAGCAACAGCTCCAACACCTCGCGCGGAGTCGTGAAGGCCCGATACGTCGCCAGGAAGACGTTTATGTACGTTGACTCCAGCTCGCCGTCGTCGTTCGCCAGGCTCTCGACCAGCCGCTGCACCGTGCCGGCTTTCAAGAACCGCACCCTCACCGTCTCCCATTCCAAATGCGAGATCTCGTC